GTGACTTAGGAATAGAAAACAGTAGTTTACATGTAAATAGATGTAGGGACACTTGTTTCTACCTAACTACTTCGTCCCGCGGAAGACATGAGGTCTATCATGCGCCATAATCTGGGCAGCAGATCGCCAGGACAGCGCATGGACGACAGGTTATATAATTAGCGATAGACATTGATAGATAATATTACACCAAAGCTAATGCGAAAGTGGAAAATATCATCATCTCTAGTGTTAATAGTGAACGAGTTTATGTATATAAATGTACATTTCACAAGTTCTATTGTAGACAAAACAGTTTTATGAATGATTCGTTTTTCACTAAGTGTTTAAATCGCATACCTGGATTTAGGTCGAACTTTCTATACGCCAAAAAAAAAACAGTTTTGGAAACAGATATTTTAGGTTGCACCTTTCTTCAGTGACACTGGAGCTCTCATATTCAGCAGGTTTATAAGCACAAACTATTTCGCGTATAAATACTACTTCGTGTATAAATGCTACCCTTTTTTGTCTAAATTTTCTTTGTCGTAACATTTAGTTTCACAAGATATTGGCAATTAATTGCTACCAATCTTCAGCAGTTGTGCCTTATCATTTTATGCTTACTTTTATGCGGTCATCCATGTTCCTTTCCTTGCGGTGAAAGCAAAATGTCCAACTTCAGTAACGTAATATGGAGCTGAGGCTCATATGCAATATTTTTTCAGCAAATGCTTCCGACGGTTTCTTGCCAAAAATTATTCAACGAAATAAAAGAACGCTTAACCCTCAGGCGACCGAAAGAATGTGTTTCTCTGTACTTAATCTCATAGCTATATGAAAATATAAAGATTATTTGGATGATAGGATATCGATTTTAAAAAACAAATGGTATTTTGTTCTTTGATGTAAAGCATTACCGCAACTGGCAGAAGTTAAACATTTATATTTACATGTGCTAGTTACATTGATAATATAACTAGCCAATGTGGGCAAGAACATGCAAATAGTGAATAGCATGATGATAGTGATGATGACAATGAAAGCTGTACATAGATTGAACCTCAAAGATTGCGAAATTCAAAGAAAATATAAACCTAGATGCAGGAATGTGCAAGAAGTAACGGTAATGAAACACAGTGCAGATACTGAAATTATCCAACTTCTTTCTCCACTCCTGTATTGTCGCGTACAAAGAAGCACCTTACGTAATTGCTTTATGTGGAAGTGACGTAAAGAGACAAATGTTTAGTGACAAATGTTAATCCTTCTATCCTATGGGCTTTGACTTTATCCACTTCCGAGGATCAGTCTTGATCTTGTTTTACACAAAACCCAAGTGTTGCTTTCAACTTCGTCTAAATGACATTATTGAGAGAGTCTCCGTTGGAGAAGGAAACGTCAATCACTCATACTGCTGTCAATGAGACGTAATTTGGTACCGAGACAAAATTACTTTTACATCTCATACACGAAGTTCTTTTTCAAACCTAGCTCAAAGCAAATCTGTGGACCGGTAAATGGATTTTAGAAAGGAAACGAATAAGCGATGATTTGTGACTTAGGAATAGAAAAACAGTAGTTTACATGTAAATAGATGTAGGGACACTTGTTTCTACCTATCTAACTACTTCGTCCCGCGGAAGACATGAGGTCTATCATGCGCCATAATCTGGGCAGCAGATCGCCAGGACAGCGCATGGACGACAGGTTATATAATTAGCGATAGACATTGATAGATAATATTACCCCAAAGCTAATGCGAAAGTGGAAAATATCATCATCTCTAGTGTTAATAGTGAACGAGTTTATGTATATAAATGTACATTTCACAAGTTCTATTGTAGGCAAAACAGTTTTATGAATGATTCGTTTTTTACTAAGTGTTTAAATCGCATACCTGGATTTAGGTCGAACTTTCTATACGCCAAAAAAAAAACAGTTTTGGAAACAGATGTTTTAGGTTGCACCTTTCTTCAGTGACACTGGAGCTCTCATATTCAGCAGGTTTATAAGCACAAACTATTTCGCGTATAAATACTACTTCGTGTTTATATTATTAAACCTGAATTCAAGAGCGCCCCAGTGTCACTGACGAAAGATAGGACATACAACGACAAAAACAGTTACTCATTAAAGCAACTGGATGTAATGTAATGTTATGTAATACCTGGATGTCTAACCTTCATCCTTGAACTTTCTATTTATTATTCTAATCTACTCCTAATGGCACTCTGCGTAATGTTCAAGTAACGTATTCGTGTAATCGCGTCAATTCTGCCCTTCAAATTGGTACCTGTGCCCGTGGGGCGAAAGAAGTTGAATACTGTGCCGACAGACAGCTTTCAAGCAGACGTTTTCTCCTGCCAATTGGAATTAGAGAAATCCGGAGTTAAATGTTGGGAGACAGGAGTGGGTAAGTCCTTAGAAGAATGCGGCGGTTGCTACCCTATGGAATTTTCAAACTTTACGTACTACAAATATGTTCCAAATTGTCAGTTCTATTGGCCAATGGTTAAAAGACATATATTTTCAAACGTTCCTAAAAGAAATGCTCAATGACAACAAAGGTGGAGCTGCCAAAAATAAGTTAAGATCGTATAGATTTTTTAAAAGTACATATAAGGCCACACCGACTTAATCTTATGGATGACATCCGCGCGCGCATTGATTTTTGCCTGTTCTAAAAAAAAAAGATCATGTCCGCCGAGGCTCTGATCTGGCTCTGGCCTGGGTAGTCCATGGTGGTTAGCGACAATATGGAGCCGGGCATCCAGGCTAACGATGCTCCACGACTCAAGAAATCATGAAGTACATATGTACAGTGCCGATTCATAAATTCCGCCAAAAGCCAGCATATGCCGGCTTGTCGTTTACGTCGCTAAGTACTGCCGCAAATTCACAATACATGTACCAGCTTTGTATTCCTGTGGTTTAGTAGCATTTTTATTTTTGGACGGATTTTTTTTATCCGCCCGCGCGCACTAGTTTGGGGGTCTTCAGAGGATGTCATCCATAAAATTAAGGCGGTGTGGCCTAAAGGAATAATATAGCAGGTAGCCGGCCAGAGAAGATCCAATTTGCGACCCACGGCTACAGTAATCCCCTTGCAGCAGGAGACGGCCACTGGTCTGCCAGGCTAGCCGCTCTGGGAGTCTGGCCGGGCCCGTCAACAAGTCATTAAAGCTTCGGTCACAACCCGCCGTACGTGCTTCTGCGTGCTGTCTACCGGCAAAACGTGGGCAAACGCAGGGCATCCGTGCGTGGTGAGTACCACTTCCGTATGGAATCCTACGGATTTGGGAGCACGCAGACACGCCGTAGAACTTTAAGTGCATGTAAAACTTTTTTCTGCGTGCGGTCTACGGATTCACCACCCGTGCGTGCGACTACGGGCGACGCGCGTGCCCCATACGTACCGTGCGAAAGAAGCACGTGTGAGTACGGCCTCCTTACGGTAAAGTTGCAATCGCACAGATATCGTACGTTATAAGTACGTACAACTCACTTACCACTTGGGCAACGTACGATGCACGCAACCGCTCACGGCCAGACGTGGCGTGCGGACCACACTCTTACACCTTGCGAAACCATGTGAGTGACGTGCGAGTGACGTGCGTCGACGCCACTCCTTCCCCACGTTTTCAGAAAAACGTAGCAGACGTAGCCTCCCAAAAAACGTACGGACAAAACGCACGTACGGCGGGTTGTGACCGAGGCTTAACGCCGATCCCAGGGATCGGCTCCCCGGCCTTTAGATATTCTCAGAATTTTTTTCTTTATTAAAATCCTGCTACCCTTTTTTGTCAAAAGGTCTAGAGATGTGTGCATTTAGTCTACGGAATCGTTGTTTTCAAGTCAAAATGCTGTATCAGCAAAAGCTGACGTGAACCAAAAAGAGTTTCAGGAAACATGATTAATAGTTGGCAGAATTGATCTCCAAGAAGATCATTCTTCATACTTTATTAGGATATCCATTAGTCGCAAAAATGTGCCAAATCATACGTGACAAGGCAGACTCCATCGGCCAGAGGAGTGAGATATTGGGTAATTGTCACTCTTCTTAATATTATCCAAAAAGTGCCTGGGAATATCTAAACTAGCGTTTCTGGCTAAAGCTCCGAATCGAAGGGGTCATCCTCATTAGAGTCTCATTGGGAACCTATTTTCAGTAACCAACCGATTATTATTCAACTTCTCCCACCCCCAAGGGGCAAAGGTACCAATTTACTGGGCAAAATTGACGCAATTACTAGACTGGTGAGGCGTGACATGCAGCCTGATAACATCACGTATACATACTGTATAATTTGATTGCAGGAATATGAAACAAAATTTAACTGACCACCACGGTATGGGCATTTGATACAAGGTCACGTTTTGTCCAAAATATTAATTATATTGAAACCCTCTGCATGAATGTTTCGACTTGCTGTAAAGAGTACAGAACGGCCTTGAAACAAGATTAACTCAAAGTAATGAGTTGGCTTTAATCTCCACAGGTTTTCCTATCAAAATTCAAAGCATCAATTACCTATTAGGCCACACCGATTTAATTTTATGGATGACATCCGCTCGTGCATTGACTTTCGCCTGTTCTCAAAAAATAAAAAGATTAACTCAAGCCTGGCTCTAGTCCTGGGTAGTCCATGGTAGCTAGTGACCATACGGAGCCTGTGGTAACTTTGGAGGATGGCACCCAGGCTGCACGACTCAAGAATTCAGTACTACATACGTAAAGTGCCAATTCATAAATTCTGCAAAAAGCCAGCATGTGCCGGCTTGTCGTATATGTCGCTATGTACTGCCGTAAATTCACAATACTAGCTTTGTATTCCTGTGGTTTAGTAGCATTTTTATTTTTGGCCGGATTTTTTTTTTATTCGCCCGCGCGCACTAGTTTGGGGGTCTTCAGAATATGTCATCCATAAAAATAAGTCTGTGTGGCCTTACGGCTAATTAAATAAGCTTGCTACACAAAGATGTCTACCAGTGAAGGTAGGTGCATTTCTGTTCATTGACTAATCTGTCCATCGCTTAGCCCAGCTGTCACTCCAGCCTTCAACTGTCAACGTGTAAACCGCTTTGATAAGGAATACTGCAGCAAGCATGTAGAAATAGCCTCCGTAAATCAGAAACTGAAAGAAAGTATACATTGAAAATGTTTTTAAAATTCTCATATCATAGTAAAACTGAACTTTATTCCAACACAAGGGTTACAGAGCGATCAAATTTTCAACGACCTCTGTCGCCTTCATCAGGATAATTAATGACCAATTTATTTATTATTTAATTTTCAATGACACCTGGGTAGCTCCTTTAGCCAAAAGCTGATTTCTAAGGAGGCCCAGGGGGGATACAATATGTAAAAGAATAATAGATTATACAAAGTACATAACAAAAGATGTAAATGAAATCAGTATAACTGAAAGTTATACATAAATAAATGAATGATACGAACATGAACTGAGGGAAATTACAAGAAACATAACTTCAAATCATGATCATAATCAACGTAAATCGATTTCCGTTCAATATCATTGGAGGCCAGAGGTCGTCTTAATACCTGCCTTGAAGTGTTTTAAAGTTGGAATCTGCCTTAAACTTCGGTCCCAATTGCGCCGATGCCCGTCGGGGATGTAGCCCCGGCCGGCCCCGGTCCGGCTCAGGAGTCGGGCGGGCATCGGCTGTCGTGGTCACAATTAAAAGTTTCTTTCAGTAGCATTTTGTTACAAAAATTGTCACCCTCTTTGGTCGGTCTCCGGCAGGCACCCGTCAGATTCTTTGACGATGTCTTGTACTGACCTATACGTAGTGCAGAATTCACGCTTTTTGTTGTGATCATTTGATCTGTGACGTCACACATTTTTACCCCGAGTTTTCCGAAGCACACACCTTTATTCTGTTCATCTGTCTGTGACGTAACAAA